CCCGGCTGGATGATACAGGATGATCCTTAGGATTGCATGGAGCAGAGCTGGCCGGGAGCAGGGAAAAGCACACAGGGAATTCATCCCCTAGAAAATGCCAGGCTCCTCCAGGCTCCTCCAGGCTCCTCCAGGCTCCTCCAGGCTCCTCCAGGGCCCCTTTGTCCGGAGCAGATGTGGGCAGAGGGAACAATCCCCGGGAACAATCCACGGGAACAATTCCTGCGCGTGTAGGTGGCTCCTGGAGAACACAGCCCCGCATTGTCCCCGCTGCTCCCGCCGGGAACGGGGAATTCTCCTGTCACACAGAGGCTGGAGCTGCCACGGGGAGCAGGGACATTCTGAACTCGGGGTGCTGGAGACAGGGGAGAAGCTTTTCCCAAAAATCACCGTTTTTCCGGCTTTTTTTTCTGGCATAGAAAGGATCTGACACCAGCCCAAAAAGCAGGAAAAATCTGTCCGGCTCATCCCTGTATCCCAAAGGGAGGCACAGAGAGGGAAAGATTGGGGTTGGTCCCTCACCAGCAGGACAAGCTGAGCCCTGCTCTGCCTCTCAGAATTCCATGAAATTCCCTTTTTTTGTCCCTCCAGGATCTGATATCACAACCCGTGGGAACAGCTCCTTCTCCTGGAGAAATTCCCAGGAGATCCCACTCCAGCACCAACCAGGATATGGATCCCCCTGCAGGGAATCTGCCTCAAAGTCATCTCCATATCAGAATTCCCAAAATCCCTGCAAACAGCACCTGGAATGTCCCCTGGGATCCACCGGGTGCACAAACCACTCTGAGGATGGACTGGAATTCATTTATTCCCGTTTCTTAACATGAGATTTTTTTGGGAAAACAATGGGAAAAATCGCTTCCTTACATCCCTGCTCCAGGAAAACACCCCCAGCTCCCAGAGCAGGAAATGGGAAGCAAAGGGAACCTGGGCTTGGAATCCAACAAAATTAAACAGTGAGGGGTTTGATTTAATCAGCTCCTTAGGACCAGCAGGATGCTCCCAGCAGCAGTTGGATTTTTATCCCAGTTTATCCCGATTTATGGCTGCAGGAGGAACAGTAAAACTTTGGGAATTGCTGTTCCCGGGGAACATTCCAGCAGCTCCGTTTATTGCTTCATTAAAGCTGATTGAGGAGCACGGAGCAGCTTTGCCACAGGCAGAAAATCCCCCTGGGTTGGTGTCATGGTATAAAAAAAAAAAAAAAAAAAAAACTGGTTTTTTATCTTTAAACAATTAATCTTTACAACAAAACCCCACAAGTCAACAGAACACACAAAAAAAGCTGTAAAAAACTGGGGGGCACCGGGGCTGCTCCAGCACCATTTTTCCAGGAATCCCAACAGAAAATCCCAAAGAATCTGTGGGGTGGTGCCTCAGGGACAATCCGGTCCCCTTGTCCTGTTCCTGATGGAGCAGCAAATCCCATCCCAGCAAATCCCATCCCAGCAAATCCCATCCCAATAAATCCCACCCCAACCCCCCTGGCAGCTCAGGACAGGTGGAGGTGACGCTGTGCCATTGTCACCTCGTTCCAGGGCCATCCATCCCACGCTGCTCCCAGAAAACCCCCGGAGCTGGTGGCACGGGGGGACACGGGCTGTGCCTGTCCCCAGAGTGTCCCCAGGCCACCCCTCCCTGGTGGCATCTGGCCCTGGGATCAGCCAAGGGTTAAACCAGGTGGGAAAACAGCCCTGGGATGGATCCGGAGCCTCTGGAGAAGATTCCCAGCTCCCACCTCCGCTCCTGCTGCCAGATTCTGCACCCGGGCTTGGAGCAGCCTGAGCCTCTCCAAGGATGGGAATATTTGGGATTTTTGGGGTCCCCAGGAGTCCTTTCCCACTCAGGATGTTTCATGGTTTTGTGAATAAAATGATGGATGCAGCACTCAGAGAGAGGAAAACTCCGCGTTTTTCCGATCACACGGAGCTGGGAGAGGGTTTGGCTGGAATTCCCTTCCCTGCTGGACACAACCCACAGCTCGTCCGTGCCAGGGACGTCTGTTCCCATGGGAAAATCCACCCGGGGAAGCTGGGACACTTGGGATTCCTCTCCTGTGTGAGAGGAACCCTTGGACACAGGAACAGCAGATCCTGATCCCATCCTGGGATCCCAGACCTGGCTCTCCATCCTGCCGAGGGCATCAGGCATGGGCGATCCCAGCGGGAATGGATTTGTCCCAGCAGGAACTG